CATATTACAAAACCATATTTTATTGTTAATTTTACCAAATTCATCACCAAAGCGTTTCAATAAAAAAAAACGAGCTTTCTGTCGTTAGCGTCGAGCTAGAAATACGATAAATTTTACCATACACGGACACTTTTTTTTTTCTCAATTCGGTTTTAACTGGTTTTTAACGAAAAAAAAGGGCTTAAATGGATTTTTTCACTGTAAAATCCGAGTCATTGATATGCATTTAAAAACAGTAAAAAAGAAACCATTAGTCCCAAATTTTATATAGGAATACGTAACAAATTTATTACTTCTTTTCTTGATTTTTATCCATATCAAAGCCTGAAAGTAACAACTAAACTTTAAGCCTTGTGCAGTTTTTACTTATTAAAAACATATCCTTTAGTGTCATCAAAATGAAGTTTCAAAAATGCTTATGGTTAGTTGAAAAAAAAATTTTTTAACTAAAAATTTTTTTGGTTGGATTGACTCATTAGTTTTCTATCCTACTGCAAGAAAACAGAATCGTTTCAGCGAACGAAAAACAGAAACAGGAATGTGCTCAAAAGATTAAGTTACTTAACTATCAATTATGATTATAGATCATAATCATCAAAAAATGGCATTTTAAATTCTGTAATGAAACTGGCCTTGAAGGAAACGAAGACTAGTAATAGTAATAGAAAGGCTACTTTAACTTACATACAAGTAACGCTGAGCTAAGTTCTTATTCATACACGGAAGAGATTAAATACGATACGAATTCTGCTCCACGGCTCTCACCTGATCACTGATCTGACGTAAAATATTCTCAGTGGTTCACAGATAATGGATTCGAACACCTTTTAGATTTAAAGGAGTTCCGCGAGTTAGCACTTTTTATAACCAGTAATGAGTTTTGACACCTCTGATTATATTTAGATACAACTATAATTGATAATTTATTGAATCTTTTGATTGCCTGTAAGAAATTATTTCAAATGAAATAGAAATGGCAATTTTTAAAAGAAAATATAATATTTCTAGTATAATGAATAAATTATGAAAAGAGGAAGCATTTATAAAATACTGTATTTAGTATTTCCTATCAATCTTTTTAAATCAATCAAAATTTCAATTTTCAAATCAAATTAAATTCGTTAATCAAGAAATATGTTTTCCTAATAACCATTTTTCTAATAACCAAGCATTTATTTTATGTTTTTATTTTAAAGTTAATCATAATTCGGCAAATTATATTTATTTTCAACTTATGTATGCGTTACCGTGAATGACCGAACCCAAGAGAATGTCGACTTTCACCGGTGAATGTCAACAATCACATAGTCGCTTTGGTGAATGTCCGAAATATTTGTTACCTCCTATTTGATATTAATTTATTCGTATTATATTTATTCGATATTTTAATATCTGTTAAGGATAGATTGGGAAAAACATCAGTGTTCGGAGTACCACCGGTTAAATGCATACCGGGCAGTGGCACTGAACCTTAAAAAAACATCAGTGTAGTATACATATCAGTATACTAACATTGTGCACCGGGCAACTGTATACTGGGCAGTGGCACTTAAATAGAACTAGTATATATTTTGAACATTTACCAAGGCGACTATGTAATTGTCAACATTCACCATATTATATTTTAATTTATAGATTGCAAAACCAATTTTATTTAGATAAATTGCAAATTAAATTAAAAAGATGATTAAAAAGAAATCATTGTACTTGTATATTGGTCTAGTTTATAATAAAATATTTATACACATTCACGAGTGTGTGAGATTTTCATATCTAGTCAATCCCCATAATGTTTTAATACATTTTCAATATTTTGTCTAAATTTTCTTGTTAAGATTTATTTCTTCAACTTTTTTGATGTAAAAATTAATTTTAATTAAAAGAGTTTTATAATAGTATATAAGAAATATAAACGTTTAATTTAAAATAAATATGATTTTATTATCGGATTCACTGAAAATTTAAAAAAAAAAAAAACGTTTGGCCGAAATCGACTACCGAACAGTTCAACTACCGAATCTACTGATTTTATCTGTCGGCTCCTAAAATTTTAAGCTACAACCCCTCTTTCTGGTGAAGTGGACACAAAAGATTTCGTTATTTTCAAACAGAGACACATGCAGAGTTGGCTATCAATTCGGTTTTTTGTAGTCCTTGAGACATAATTTAATTTTCACGAAATAATTTGTTTATCAACTAGTCTGCCGCTGGCGGCGTTGCGGTTCTGGGCGGGACATGAAAATCGCTTGCACATCTTTTTCGGCCGTCAGTAAAGAAGGAACTTTGAGAATGTGAGTCATCCCTACATAAATCTCTCGCGAACTTCTCTCTCTCTTTCTTTCTCTCTCTTTCTTTCTCTCTCTCCCTCTCTCTCTCTCTCTAGATAATATTTTAGAATTCCGAAATATGTTTATTGAAAATAAAAAGGAAAATGTAAAATATTTCAGTCACCCTTTATTCTTTTTCGTTTTCTCGATCCTCGTTTTAAAAGCGCTTATAGAGCATGCGCTATTTTCCAGGACATGCGCTCTTCAGTATCTTAAAAATATATCTGAAGTGAAAGAGGGATGTTTAAAATTTAAAATTGGTTGTTTATATATCTCACGAACTTTTCATTTTGTTGTCGTTTTATTTTGTCACATTTTATCTATATCTCCATTAAACATAACGTGTTTTAATGGATATTTACATTAAATATACTTCAAACTATTATTAACACGACAATTTTGAACTAAAAAATTTACATTTCAACAATGTTATTAAACAGAGTAAAAACTGCTGTATGATGGCTATTACAAACTGACATTATGAGTTTCTATTGTACAAATAATGCAACAAAAAGAAATTTGATATTCGAAAATAATCAAATCTTCATAAATTTTTTTATTTTCATGCTTTTAATAATAGGAGCATACATATTATTTTCTATAATTAATATATTTTAGTATATAATTAATTTCAATAAATTAATTATCTACTAAATTTACTAATTAATTTATAATTAATTTTAGTTTATTATTAATATATTTTCGGAAGTATACAAATGATCTGAAAAAAAAGTTAATTTAATATGTAATGAATTGATTTATAAACACTTCATCCAATTTGTATACATTACTTTTTGATTACTACTTGAAAATTTTATTTGAAACGAATATCTCATATAATTTTCCTAGATACACATTATAAAATTCACACGCTTTGTGACACAGCAGTTAAAAGTCTTTAATACTAAAGTAAACTTAAAAAAATGTATAAGAAAACAAAGAAAAAGGAAGGTAAATGAAAACATAGCTGGCCAATATTTGTTGATAAAACGTATCTATCTATCTGTTGATAAACGTTATCTATGAAGCATGATTAAAATTAAAATATAACACTAAATTACAATTCAATCTGCGTAAGTTCAAGGAAGTAATCTCAAATATGCTAATTATTTATTGCAAACGATATTTCAAGTTACGAAATCATATTCTTGGCCATAGATGGCGCCACTAAAACATGAAACGCACCCTCTTCCGTAAATTCGCTTGGTTTCACCGTATGGCTTGCTGGCATTGGCAAGTGACATTTGAAACAACAACACAATTTCTCAAGCATTAGTGTTTATGTAACAAAGATACAGTATAAAAATCTGAAACCATCATTATGCTCACGATAAATATGGAAGTCACCTAATTAAAAAAAAAACGAAATTTTTCAAACAGTTTGTTGTTAAATACTTAAAGATATTGATTTGCATTTTTTGATCTTCGTGGACTTTTTCTCTTTGCAAAATAAGTGAGGTTTTTTTTTAAGATAATAATAATAACCCTAATTAGGTTTGTTTGCGGAGGACTAAAATCTAGAAGATATTTACCTAATTTCAGAAAGAGTATGTTAAGAGTTAGAGTCAATAGATATGGTTAGTTTCTTTGTTATTTGTATTATAATTGCGTACGAATAAGTTACAGATTCGAGAAGTTATTCTTTATTCTTTTCATTTGGATTTTGGATATTTCACAATAAATATGAATTAAGTTACAGAATGAGAAATACAAAAGTATTTCTCTGATTAAACAAATAGTTTTTCTTCGTTGCCTTTGGATTCTAAATTTTCACTCTGTAGTCTGAAACATTTAGTAATTTATGTTATTTTAAACTAGGGGGCTTAGCCCCCTGTTCTCTACCTCTTACTAACCCCGATGATTACGCTGCAATAATTGTTGTTTTTTGGCATAAAACAATTATTTCTACAAAGGTTGAAATTATTCACTTAAAATATATGTACTAAAAATATTTTGTTGTCGCGTGTACTAAATGTAGCACAGAAATAAGTAATAATAAAATTTAAAAAAAAAATAATAAATAAATAAATTCTCTAAGTTTTAAATTCTTAATTTAGATTATAATAAAAATCAAAAACATAATAGCAGTACAGGTTACACCTTCAAATTAGGGATACAAAAGTATTTTTTGGAAAACAATACATTCATGACTTTTATTAATTTTTTGCTGATGACAATATGCTGGAAATCAATGTGGGAAAACTGGATCCTATCATATGATTTTTTCGACCTATTAAAATGTACCGACATCATTGGAAAATTGTGATAGACCATTATGTTTTATAGATAAATAGAAATACAATTTTAAATCATATTCTAGTAATTGGAAATGGTTAGAATGCTGGTCCACTCTTATAAAAATGTCTGCATATGCCAATGTACAAAAATCTTTATATATTTAATGTGCACTCAGATATTAAATTTGTTTTTAACCATCCCCTAGAAGTTTTTAGCTACAACTGGGGATAGAGGCCATCTTTACCCTAGGATGTTTAATTTTCATAATTGATTCTTCTTATTTCGCGAAAAAATGTGACATTTTATGAAATTTTCAGAGGGAAATACCAAATAAGGGAGGTGATTATTCAAAATCTCCAAATGATTGACACTTCGTAAAAAGAACATCTGGTTTTTCAAGTTAATATTTTATTTTTATTATTACTATTTCAATTCTACTTCATAAGAGCTCTCATTGTGAGAGAAATATATGTTGCACAGTAGTGGCGTTGCTGTTCAAGGCCAAAGCAGCGTTATACCAGAACAAGCGAAAGTGCTTTCCATTTTTATCAGAAAGCGTCATTATTAGGATACAATAATAAGGTATGTTTCACCTTACATCCTCCTCCCTCGAACAGTAACTTCAGTTTGACTTAAAATATTAAATTTTGCAACACTTGTGTTTAAAATATAGCTTGGAAAAAAACATGGGACATTTTTCTAATTTCTTTTTTTTCTCTTCTTGTTATATTTTTATCTTCGTTTAAGAAGTGCTTACTATTAAGCATGTACCAATTCTGTGACATGCGCAGTCGCAGACATGGGGAAATGTTTCCATATTTCTGTTTCTAAAAGGAATTATTAAAATATGTAAATTATGAAGTCATTATGAAGTCTTCTTATTTTTTTAAATGCAAGAGGAACGATTTGCATACATATCTAAACTGTGCACTGACAAGCAAATTTAGTGTTTTCTGAGAACTCACGATAAATATAATTAAAAAATATATAATAAAAATTAAAATAATGAAAAGAAATATAATAAAAATAAATACAACTTATATTAACACGTTTTCTAAAAAAACATGAAGAAAAGCAGATGTTACAGCTACAGCTAAAATAGTATCTTCATTTTAATGAATTTTTGCCACCAATTTTCTTTAAATTTAAATCTTAGGAATTTCATTAATTTTTCTTAACTATATTCAATTTAAATCTTTTATACATTTTATTTCCAATGTTGTCCTTTTTAATTTAAAGTCAAAAATGTAGGTCATCCAAAAATATTTTTCTAATCCCTACGTGCAAATTTTCATTTATTAATTGAATGATGATGTTAATTTTATCTTATTTTCGTTGTTAAAAATAGATCTCTATAAGAATTAAAAATATAACATGAATTCATTGTTTTTTTTCTTCGTATTTGTGTACATTTTGATTTATGTATTTAATGATGATATTTAGTTAATTTCATTATTTGTTAAGGTACTAGGTTATATTTATCTGTATTTTTTATTTGAATGTATTTATCAGAAACATTTATTTGTCATCCCTTTTTAATATTCTTCTTTTAATAATATATTTTAATATCTTTTTACTCATTTGTGTGCATTTTCATTTATGTATTTAATGATGATATTTAGTTAATTTCATTATGTGTCATGGTATCAGATATTATTTTTTAACAATATAGTATTTATCATCCCTTTTTAACATTATTATTTTATTATATTTTTGGTTTTGATTATTATTTAGAATTTAAGACTTAACTCTAAAAAAGCGGTTCATTTTTACAAAATTTTCGCAATCTCAAAAGAGATAGCAATTGCTAATACTGTGTTTCACGGATTAATTAGACATGAAAACAGTCTATACCATGATATATTATTACTATAATATATTTATTAGTATGTTTATAGTTTTAAATCTCAATGTCATTCAGTGGTTGGAAAACTAAATAATATTTAGTTTTTCAGACTCAATGTAGATAATTACAGTTTACGTTTTTTTTTTAAATATAATGATTACAAAATACTTTAAGTTAGTCAATAATAATATAATATTTATTATTAACTATATCGATAATAATATAATATTTAATATAGTATCGTAATACACTCTATAACAAAAAAAATCGACGCACCAAAAACGCACTAAGACGCTCAAAATCGATACTCGATCAGGCTGGAATGATGCCGACTGGAGACTTATAGTCTTTAGCGACGAATCCCGCTTCCAACTGCGTCCTGACGATCATCGAAGACGTGTTGGCAGAGGGGGGATCCTGCCTTCACTATTGCACGCCACACCGGCCCTCAACAAGGCATTATGGTCTGGGGTGCCATTTCCTTTAACAGCAGGACCCCTTTAGTCGTCATTAGAGGTACATTTACTGCACAGCGGTACGTCAACGACATCCTGAGATCTGTTTTGCTACCGTTCCTTTTGGAGTGCCCTGGGCTGGTTTTTCAGCAGGACAATGCCAGACCACATACGGCACGTGTTGCTATGAACTGTCTGCAAGCTTGTCAAACTCTTCCTTGGCCTGCCAGATCACCAGATCTCTCTCCCATCGAGCATGTCTGGGATATGATGGGAAGGCGATTGCATCTGGCACGGAATGTTGATGACCTCGTTCGACAATTGGATCGAATTTGGCAGGAAATACCGCAAGAGACCATCCGGGAGCTTTATCGGTCTATGCCACGCCGTGTGGCAGCTTGTATCCAGGCTAGAGGCGGGTCAACACCTTATTGAACTTGTTACTGTAACTCTGCAATAAATTATTCAATTGTTCTATAATTTTAATCATTTACTATTCTGTACATTGTCTTCCTATCCACCCATTTTGGTTTCAATCGAACAACTCCTTCTTGGTGCGTCGATTTTTTTGTTATAGAGTGTATTTGAACGGCCTTTTAATATAAATATGAATTCTGAAGGAGAATAAGAATTTTATGACGTCTTAAGAAATTTATAATGGCTGGAAATGAAAACCAATCCTGCCCATTGGACGACAAGAGGACGAACAAAACATTAATTGATGCAGTATTTGCAACCCATGACTTGAAATGTTGTGGCGTTGTAAATCCAGGGGGAAAAATGACCGATGGGTCATCAATATCGCAATAATGTGATCACAATTTTATCTCTTTTGTTTTTATTTAATAATTTTTATTTATTTATTCTCTGCTGCACTGTTTACTTTCAGCTTCACAGGATTTTTGTTGAATCTTGAAATAGTTTCAAACTATTAACTTGTCCAAACTACTTACTGGTCGTTTCACCTGCCCAAAGATGCCTTGTTCATAGCGCAAAGAAATATACAGGATTCTAAATTATTAAAAAGAAAGATGGAGGATCTTCCACCAAGCTACGGAAGCTTATTCAACGAACATAGAAGTGGATTAAGTTACATAGATTTCTTGCCAGGGGTTTTGAAGGAAGGTTTTTTCTGCAACGCAGAGTATGACAGATTCGAGTAAGTTGTTGTAGTACCATTTTTTCGAACCATTTCCTTTTGCTTGAAAATCCTAATTGTCGCAATGACGATTACTTTGTGAAAGTTTATAAAGGCTTTTATTTGAATTATTAAATTACAATTCAAAACGGCTCAGGAAATATTCTTTATCATCTCGTTTTGTTTTTCTTTTTTTTTTAACCGAACAGCTATAATTGTAAAAGTAGTGTCTAGGCTGTGCACTACAAGATTAGACCACAGATATGATGCACAATCAAGAAAAGATTTTTAAAAGAACTTGGAGTTTAAAAAAAACTAGAAGAAATGAAAAAAATTTATCCGCAATGGATAAAAAAATGGTAGTTACAGTTATAACAGTTAATGGTATGAACAATTGTGTTAATACCATTACAACATGTTTATTATTACAACATGTTTATTATTACAACATGTAGTTGATAACCTTGTTTACCAACTTAACGATTAACGATGATTAACTTTTTTAATACAAAAAATTTAAAATTTGCAATTTAAAAGGGAATTCTAATTAAATTATCTTCTCATTGTAATTAAATTAATTACACTGCGAAGCAGATTTATTATGTCTACAAGATGAGCTCAACTAGATGTCGCGTAATTTATTTCATTATTGAAAAAAAAACACCTTTTTCAAGTTTCCGAAACGGTACTGTATTTAGAATTTCTTCATCACATCTTTAGTTGAAATTTTTAAATTCGACTTTTGGCCGTTTAGATTGGCTAAATACCCCACAGTGCGGCAGCTCATAATCTATTTTGTGCTCGTAGGGGATGAACTTTGAGTACTTATTTATTTTAATCATATTCGCTACCTAAAAATTACGTGAAGAACACTAAAATTAGTAAAACAGTTTTTTTATGTATGAAATTTGATGCAAAAAAACTGTTTTTCGTTGCTAGTTTGTAAACTCCAAACGTATTGCAAGGCGACAAATTTGTTGCTCATGCGTATGATTTTAGCGACATTTGTAAAACGGTTGACGATACTTGTAATCAAGAAAGATATGTTATCGCTAGTAATTATTTTTCCTGAAAAATGGGGTCCGAACTACGTAACTTAACCACAGACTACATGGCTTATAAACATTTGCCGCTTCTTTTTTAGCCAGTTTTATATAACATAAGAATGGAATTTTTTAAATGTCTGCTTCTTTAATACTTACTTCTTCATTTACGTGTTCTTTTATATTTAATAAGCACACTATAGGTGAATAGCATTTTTCGCTAATGAAAATTCCATTTCCATAGGAATGTGATAGCTCTTGCTAATGAGTGGTTGAAATTTAATCCCCAATGGAAAATTAAAACTTGCGAAAGTATTGAGTTCAAAGATGGTCGTGGAAGTATTAATCCTACAGAAATGGTTTACTATGAAAGCACAAAATATCGCACCAACTTCATCAGAGGATTAAGGTAATTTTATTTTTTATTCGATGTTTAACTAATATTTATTGCAATCAATTAGTATTAAATCTATAAAGCTCACAAAAAATAGTTTGGATGGTTAGTAGTTGAACTATGTAGCAACCACAGCGCCATCTGAACAGGCAGTAGATGCTCAGACTTAGGGGTCGAGACAGAACAGACTTTCCTTTTCCTCCTTCTTGTAATTATTCAAATTTATGTTTGTCAGTGTGCTATTTAATATTAATAAAAATATTTGAGCCGGGATAGCCTGGTCGGTAGGGCGCTGGGCCCGTGTCCGAGAGTTCGTGGGTTCGAACCCGCCGGCCGAAGACGTAGTTCGTGACTGATGCACGTTAAAATTCTGTCGAGTCGCAAAGTCCTCCATGTTCCCATAACAAATCAATACCTCTGGGGGTACTGGATTGGAGATCAATCGTTCTCTGATTCAGGTCAAAATTACGATCTGTGGATGAATTAATGAATTCGTCCACCTAATAAACAGGTGTGACGTATGGTGTGGCACAAGTTGAATTCTTGTCCATAGATGGCGCCACTGAAAAACAAGAATAGCACACTGCCTTAAATTTGCTCGGTTTCACCAAGCAGGCTTGCCCGTGTGGCAAGTGGCATTAGAACCAACCAACCATAAAAATATTTGGCACAACCATATCGCCAAGCAACCACAGCGCCATCTGTACAGGCTCTGACTTTGGACAGGACGGACTTTACATTTCCTCCTTCCTGTAATTATTTTATGTCTGTTCGTGTGCTATTTCTTATTAATAAAAATATTTGGCACTAAGCTTTTCTTTATTTAAACCCCCGAAATCTAGCCAGCAGAACAATGAAAAAAGGGGAAAAAAAGAAAAATAATAATAATAAATAACAAAAAACCGGGGGAAAAAAGAACAGAAAATTTTGATCAAAAAATCTCTTTACGAATATATTCTAAATCATTCTTGAAAAATTTCCCGTTCATGTAAGTTCATTTGAATTCGCTACTCGCTTTATAAATTTCATTTCATGTTTTAGTCTGTTTTTTCTTTACATTTTATTTTCTGTTTTTACGTGATATTTTTACTTATTGTGTTCTGTTCTATTTTATTTGTTGTAATCTTTTTATAAAATTTTTTGAGGGCTTCTCACACTATTGTATTGATATATTTTGCTTTGGCTATATTGATGCAATATTGGAAAGCACTCTTTTTTGCGGATATAATCGTGTGAGCTGATGAAAAGATTATATCTTTTACTTTCAAGATGTTTTAAAATTTTTTGTTCTTTCTTCTTCCGGTTTTTTGTTCTTTTTTTTATTATTTTTTCCCCATTTTTCATTGTTCTGTAATTTTTCCCTTGTTTTCTCTACTTTCTGAACTATATATATACAAATAATTCACTGTTGGGGGGGGAACATTTTATCAATTTGTGTTCGTTAGCATGAATAAAATGTAATGATTGTTATTTTAAGATAATTTAAAAAACGTTTAATTTTATTAGATTGTGGTTGCAAATATTTCCTCCTGGTGAAGAGAGGGTACAAAAAATTGGATACGTAAATTTGGTACCTGAAGCAGAAGGTACTGAAGGAATTTTTACCCATGCTAAATACGAAACTTTGGATGATGTCCTATTGAAATTCAACAATGCTTCTCGCACATCGCCGCTACCAGGTACTTTTTGACATTAAAGGGATATCCATATTTTTGGACCACTAACGATGAATTTACTTGAAACAGTCATGACTTTAAAACTAAGAATATCTCATAATATATATTTTTAGCTTTTAATAAAAAATGCTTACAATGATGATAAATACAAGGTAAACTTTAAATTAAATGAAAAAATTAAGGGAAGGTGGGTATTAGATGTAATATCGGTATGATTCGAATGAAGGAAATGTAATAATATATTTAGTGGAATGAAATACTTAATTAGTTATGAATGATATTATTTAATAGTATTGGCGGTATAGATGTAATATCTGCATAGTTGTAACAAAGGGATAATGTAATAGTATAATAAGTGGCTAACTAGTTATGAATGATATGATTAAATGTCGTTTTATGTCCGTCTTAAGATACTTTTTGCATCGTGGGTTAGTTTTGATTTACTCGAGAAAGTACAAAGAACAAAAACCTTTCCACGGGTAAAAATGCTAACTTTTTTTTCCCTTCTCAAATGAATTGATTTTAAATTAAGTAAAGACCAAGCTAATTTGAAATAGATCATCCTAAATTACTTCCCTTTCGATTCATGAATGCCACCTTTCTGAACAGATGTTGAGATTTCAAAAATGGCATGAATCCGAATTATTAATTGTATCTGCATCCATGTTTTACAATACTTTGCCTGGTACATGTACTTTTGTGAAGAATAAACGTACGAGCATCATGGCTTGGCAGTTGTTCCATAATCCTACCTCATCTATCTGTTAGAAAAGTTAAGAATAGTTTGAGTAATAAAGTTGCCAATGCTTAAACCAGGAATCCTTTTTCTTTCGTTGTTTAATCTAGTTACTTAGTTGGAGACTTTCAGCAGTAAGTGAGATAGATGTAGCCCTTTCACGTAGCATCTCACATGTTCATAAGCGCAGCGAACAATCTCGATTCATAAAACTGTAGGTATTTATGAATTGAAAATGTATACGTGAGTATGCTTGAAGCTAGGTTTTGTAGTGCCAAATTTTTCTTTACAAAACAAACTCGGACCTCTACTGAGCTTGCTCAGAACGTATGTGAATGTACAGGATAAAAAAGATTAAGGTTTTTTACGTAGTATCCAGAATGATAACGTGCGCATGTTCCGCACAATGCAGTCAGTACAGAACAATAACGGTTTTCTACCGAGCTTGTGTAAGCATACGCTATATGAAAGCACTTATGCATGTTCTAAAGTAACTGTGCGTGCCTGCACTTACGCATTAATTTCAGAATTTAACGCGTTATTTTCAGTTACTTCCGAATGTAACTTCCGAATGTTCCGTAAGTAAATATAATGGAATATTGAAACGCTATTGCAAAAAATCTCTATTAAAATAAATTAGTTTTTTAGTTTTCTAATAAATTAAGGCGGGCCGAGCTAGCCTGGTTGGTAGGGCGCTAGGCCCATGTCCAAGAGTTCGTGGGTTCGAACCCCGCCGGCCGAAGACTCCCCGTGTAGTAAAGTGACTGATGCACATTAAATCTGTCGAGTCGCAAAAGCCCTCCATGTTCCCATAACAAATCAATACCTCTGGGGGTACTGGATTGGAGATCTTTCGTTTCCTGATTCAGGTCAAAGTTACGATCTGTGGCTGAATGGATGTATAAATGGGCCCGCCCTATAAACGGGTGCGACAGATGTCGAATTCTTAGCCATAGATGGCGCCACTGGAAAACAAGAACAATCGCACCCCCTCTGTCTAAACAGGCATACGTCAACAACAATAAATTAAGGCATTTATGTTAAAATGTAAATTATCGAGACAAGTGTTTCCGAAAAGCGATAAATGAGCGTATTGTACTAACTTTTTTTTGGTGAAAAAAATTTATGAAGTCAATTAGTCACAACACACGGTTCTTAATCTAGGGTTACTATAATAATTTTCCACAATGAAATAGAATTTATTAAAATTGACCTATTTTATTTCAGGTCGCATTATTACTATAGAGACACAAAACATGAAGATAAAAAGTGGTGGTGTAATCGATCCGAACCGATGTAGTTGGACTGAATACGGTGAACGCTACACGAGATTCATCTATGTAATCAGAATATTTTATGAAGTCTGTGAACCTTTGTACGAAGAAATAGGTAACTTTAATTACAGTACTCATTACCGTTTTTTATGGGAAAAAATGACTGATATATTTAAAAACATTGGTAGTTCGAAGGGGTAACCTCAAAATTACAAATTAATTAGTGTAGACGATATTTTAAATTACGAAATCAGACACAAAAGCGTTCTTTCTTTGAATAAACATACCTTCTTTTCCACGGGATTTTATAATTGAGTAAAAAAAATGTTCAATTCGCTTTTAAAAGCTTTCTAGATATGGCGAAATACGCAAAAAGTAAAATTAACATTTAGGAGTTCAAATTTTTGATCTTTCTTTTGACAAAACTATGTAGACCATATTTCCCAAATTGCAATTACCCCCTATATTTTTCTGGTTGGAAATCCAACTCCGTTCAAAAAAAGGTATGTTTATTCAGAGAAAGTACGTTTTCGAGTCTGATTTCGTAACTTAAATTATCGTATGCACTAATTAATTAGCATATTTGAGGTCATCCTCTCGAGCCATTAAGAATGAGTCTTGGAACTTTAAGATCGGATCATTAGATCAAAAATTATTCAGGGTTGTCCTTTTTCTTTTTCATCACTATACACTGATTCTTATTGAAGACTAGCTACCTGTATTATAAAAAAATATCAGTCAAATGGCGGGCAGCAACTTTGTCAAAAATTTTTTACAGGACTCTTTTATGTTTGAAGGAACATTAAATATTACTATCAGACTTTTATCAAGTTGTACAAAACAAAAGTATTAAATTACAAATCAAATTACAAAGTAGATTTTTACCTGAGCAATAAATTTTTTTGGCCCCGTTGGTATGTTAAATTTCACAGAAACAAAGAAATTAGGTATTTTTTTAACGAAAGTAAAGTATTTTAAGCCCATATAGATTTTTTACTAAAATTGTCCGCAAAAAAATGACAACTAATATATTTTAGTTCGCGGGCCACAAAAAAAGGCTTCGATGTGGCCCCCGGGCCGCCAGTTGCAGACCACTGGCTCAGCCTAATTTCCAATACCATCTGCAATAAGCAAAGAGTAGTTTTGACAAAATTCTTAATCTGTCTAATTCTTAAAAAATGACACCAGAGCCTGATTGAGAATGTGACTTGTTATTTCTCTTGATTTCTATTTTTTCTCCAGTGTTGATTTTTATGGTTTCTGTGTTGAAGACGCTTTTGTGTATTGTGTTATTGTCTAGGAAAAGTTCCGAAATACTTATTTTGTAACAATATTAAGGAAAAGCTTGATATAAAAATTGTTACCATCAATAATTTCTAACGTTATATAATTTACAATACTTTATAATTGTGATATTTTTACTTTGGAATAAATATACTCTATCACATGAGACTAAATTACAAAAAAAATTGTTTAAAGCTCTATATCTTTCTCTAGTTTTAATAATAAACTTATTATGCAGGTATAAATGATTTCATACCAGATATTATATCCACTAGTTATTGTGGCTTATTGCCGAAATACGAATATCTTTCAACATTGTTCGAAAAAGCATCCAATTGGTCTTCAAGTCAGTCCGATTTGAGAATCTGCAACCTACAATCTTTGGAAGTTAAAGTTCATGATGGTAAGTATGAAGGGGATGAATTGAAGCCCATCTAATGATAAACCACATTTTCAAATTATCCAGAGGAACGTTTTATGGTAAAAAAACATCTCGATTTCATATTAGATTGTTCTGTTATCTATTAGAAATTCCAATATAAGCATTTTTTAAGTGATTAAAAATATTTTGACAAATGTTGAATTAAAAATTGAGTTATTGATTTAAGTAATAGTTGATGTTTAATTTTTTATGCCAGAATTTTTTTTTATCCAAATTTTAAGTAATGAAAAAAAAATTATTATTGGCGACTCTTTAAAAGTACATTAATCGGACGATTTTCTACCAAAATGCCGCTTTTTTATTTTATAGTTATTTTTACTCTATTATATATTATTAGTATTGTTCAATTAATTAATTTGTTTTCAAACTGGATTTAATACCGGTTTTGAGCATTTCTCAGATAGTTTTTATCAGAGGTGAAATTTCCTTAACTCTTTAACACTGACGGGATGCAGGTGTTCCTTTTATATATATATATTCGAACGCTCAAATTACAATTTTGTTAGATTATGAAAATTATATTTGCATTAAAATATAAAATAAATAATTATAAAGTAGTTTTAATTTTTTTTCCATTCATATTCAAAAATTTATACAGTAATTAATTTCGTAAGTAAAAGAAATTTCAATGACGAATAACTGTTTATCTTAGATCTAAATAAGTGCAAATTTGAAAAAATTATTGATTGGAAGATTTTATCTTTATCGTAGAAAAAATCACAGGTGTTTCAGGCTGAACTTTATAACAATATAAAAATTATATACATATATAATATTTTTCACTTATTTGGAACTAAAACAATACAAAATAATGGAAAAAGTATTAAAACTATATTTAGTAAAAATTCTGAGTCGTAGTCTTTTTACTGTATTACATATTATTTTTTATTTACTTTTCTAAATTTTCTTTTCTTTAGCAAAGATAATGGAGGGTTAATAATACTTATTACTAAGGCCCGGATTTTGATGACATTTGCATTTTTTTTGCCTTTTTTGCCTTTTTCAATATTTTTTGTCTTTTAGAGCATTTTTTTTAGATTTAAAGGGAATTTTTCTTTAAATTTTGGGGCGTATTTTGCATTTTAATGCATTTTTTAAAGTTTTTTGTTAATTTTTTCCAATTTTTACTATTTTTTATCAATTTTCATTATTACACTGGCTTCCAAACNCTAATCTTTTTCCTGCATGATATATTATTTTTTATTTACTTTTCTATATTTTCTTTTTCATAGCAAATATAATGGAGGGTTATTTACTTATTACCTATTCTAAATAAATTCGATAGGTGTATACATTTGTCAAACTATTTTTATTTGTATCATGAATATTCTTCAATCTATTTTAACTCCATTACCAATGGATTAGTTAAGCAACTTTAGCAAAACTATACGCAAACTTTCTTAGAATCTGAAGCAATATTAAACTAAAACATTTGTGTTTAATTATTAATATTTAATTTTAACGTTCTGGTATTCATCAACCCTGTTTACTCTATTACATATTATCTTAAATAATGTTAATATATAATTGAGTAAACATGATTGAAAAATTGATAAACTGTTTTCCATTATTTTTACTCTATTACGCATTATCATTATTTGAGTATAGTATTTTTACAGAAATCGCCAATGAAATGGATGGTCTACACATTTAGCATACTTTCTCCAATACATCAATAAAACATCTGTCAGAAACTTTGATAAAAGTTTTTTTTTTATAATTTATTCCATATTATATGTGAATATTATCTTTAGGTAAATATAATATTGAAATATTATCTTTGAATATATGAAATATGGAAAGATTAACTTTGGATAAAAACTTTTCTGTAAATTAGTATTTTTTGACATGAGTATCTTTTTAATGCTGTAAACCAAAAAAAGAATAAAATTTTTATAGAGACCAGTGTAGACTATTACCAGTTTTAATGTAGACTATTAGAATCCTTCTTAAATATTAAGTCACAGCGTTGAACAGTCATAACGGAATCGCTTTCATATTAATTACCTATTTCCATATTTTGCTTACTTCATTTTTGACAAGAATTCTAAAAATACATATTTAAGTTGATCTTCGTGGAACACACAGCATATAACCCTTTCTCTAAAATAAAATCGTAGTTTAACCTTTTCCTTACGGCTGGTACAACACGTGGACCACATGTGATGGTACAAATATGGTATACCGTAAGCAAAGGGTTAAGTATATGTTAGATAAGTTTTATTCAAGAACTATAACCTTTTTTTTTATATGCATATTATCAATCAATCAGCAAAGAATTAATCTCCCATTTTTCCCTTTTACATTCACAGGAATGGTTAATCCAAAAAAGATGAGCTACACAGAGCATGGTAATCGCAGACTTGCGTTTGCTCGAGTATTGCGTGTTGCTTACATACGCCAGCAACCTTTGAACTACACTGCTCCTGTTCACCTAAGCTACAAATCCTTTGTTCCAGCACAAACAAAACCAGAAACCCTCATGACTTGCTATCGACCAACAGCTGAAACTTTGCAAGAAACTATGCAGAGAGTTTCAAGTTGGATTCAAGCAACAGGCAAGTTATTTTCACATTACAAAGTCAGTATATACAGGATAACTAAAGTTTTAAATGAAAAATACAAGTAGGTCAGAAATGGAATAGCAACCACGAATCATTTAGATATATATTGTCGCAAATGCGACCCCAAAGCACAAAGTAAAACAGCCAGGGTGTCACTAAAATTTCAAACGCTGGCTTTGAAACTTTATTTTAAACAAAAATGTAGTGTAAACTTGTCTTTGTGTAATAAATTATCCTTATTTGTAATCTGCCACAAATTTGTGGCCACCCTTAAAGTCTCTCTGGTGACTCTCTATGCAATGAAACTCATTACTTTTGCAACCATATATTCCTTGATGATTCCTGCTTTTATTTCAAATCAACCGTACGACAGGCCTGTGTAGGGGTTAAGGAACTGACCTTGCGTAAGAAATGTTCTTGATTCGAATCCGGGACAACGCTTACTGTGGGGGCAACGTTGTCCTACCTAATATGATGCCCTTGAAAGAGTGGTCAACAAATCTGCCCTTCAGTTGCCTGCATGACGAAAGGTCATTCTGTAGGTGGGCAATGGAGAAAAAAAATTCAAATCACCTAATATAGGGTTTTCCATAATGACTGCCCTTATTGTAGATACTAAGAATTTCTGTAAAAAAATTAAGTAAAAAAATACTACGATCGTAATAATTTAAATGGAAACGTACAAAACACCTCATTATAGGGATCGATAAGAGGGAGAATTTTATTTTACTTATTTTTATTTCTCAATTTTTTTATTTATTATTATTATTATTTGCAAGTATGTAAGTTCTAGTTTAAATGTGTTTTTCTGAAATTCTTTCACTAAGAAAAATAAGAAAGCCATAGTTTGTCTACCTTAAATTGAAAGCAAAGCAATTATTTCATTTTATAATCTTGCCTTAAAGAGTTAGCTTTTAAATGAACAAAACGCTTAATTATTCAAAAGGTTATTAAACTTTATATAAAATCACAAATTTGATATTTTGTGACAAATTTTCTATTTTTACATATTTTTATGAACTACCACTGATCCCTAACCACCCGATCCAATATTCAACAATTAATGTGATAGAGCACACAGGTGATAGTCCAGCACTTTTATTTAAATGGGTGTGACTTTACGAAGCTTTCACTTCAAAGAATTCAGAGACTCTTAATGCATTTTCGAGTGTGGAATATATAATTTGTGCTGCGTATGAATGAAGCAAAACAGCTTGAATGAAGCACAAATAAAGGTTCGACGCCAGCTTCAATGCCTGTCTCACAACGACCACAGAATGAATCAGAGAGAAGTAAAATTATTCCAGGATTTTCACAGCTGAGACGCTAAATAAGGCAACAATTTAGTTATTCGATAGGTGTCTGGTAAACGACATTTTTTAAATTTCCTTGAAAAATAAAGATATATGGAAAGAACGAATCGGACAATCTGGGAGAGAGAGCCTACCGCAACCAATCCAACTGACCGGAAAAACAATGTTTTGGCAGTTTCGCAATATTCTGGAAAAATGTAAATTTTTCCAACAGATGGATTAACCGTGATACTCTTGGCCTCCTATATCTTCCAATTCTATTTTAAGTTTTTTCGGAGTATATCTAAAAACGCCTCGTCTACAAGACAAGTCGCAGTGGTGAAATGGCAATAATCTTCTAAAGTGTGATTCACTCCACGGTGAAGCCAGTATTGCTGTTAGAAGTCACTTATTTCATCATTTCATGCAAAGATTTCACTAATAAAGAGAGCTGATAGTTTTTTGTTTGCCTATAATGCATTCCCTATGTTTTCAGAGAGCTCGCGGCTCGGCCTTTGCCTTACGGCCCCACATTATCACTCAAGAGTTAATTATTTTTCCAAATAGTCCACCTCTTGAAAATCCGATAATCAGTTTTATTTTATTTTTTTATGACCGTCGTTGAAAAACCGACCCAAATTTTGGTGGTTTACGACTATCAGTGTTCAACTCCGTAGCCTTGTAATGTTCAACCCAATTCAGAAGACAAGGAAACTCCTGGATCAAGTATTGGAAGAAATTTTGTCTTCGTTGAGGACTTTCTGATGAAACTAACCCGCATTTGCGTTACATGGAGAGGGAGAGCACGAGAACATCCCACGGTTAGCCTAACGGCAAGGGGACTCTAACCCATGATCCGTCTACCACTGCGGATATTTCACATCAGCACTGTGGTCGGTGCAAGTCGGATGCGGGATTCGTATCGACTGGGATTCGAACCCGGCAATGGGAGGCAAATGCTCTAACCCCTGAGCCATCGCGGCTCCGATAATCAGTTTTGTTACATCCTGTATAATTATGGCGGAGATAGCGTGGTTGGTAAGGCACTGGGACCATATCCAAGAGGTCGTGAGTTCGATCCCCGCTGACCGAAGACTTCTCGTGTAGTAAATGGTGATCGTTGCACGTTAAATCTGTTGGGTCACAAAGTCCTTTATGTTCCCATAACAAATCATACCTCTGGGGGTACTGATGAATTTCCTTGTTTTCTGGATTGGGTACAAAATTACAAGGCTGTGGAGTTGAACACCAAAATTGGGTCGGCTGTTCAACGACGGTTATAGACTATAAAAATATCCTGTATAATGAACTTATTTATCAATTTCAGGTGCAGAAGTAATTAATATGGAGACATCTGCAATACGGCTGAACAGAAAGGGAGCAGTGCACAGTTCCGAAAAGAATTACTCTTATGAGACAAATGCTAATAGTGAGGCCTATATATTTGTAATAAGGGCATATTTAAAAGGTTCCTATACCGAACCGTATGAAGACACTACCACTCCTCTCCGCAGATTGATTAACCCTGTTTTTATTATAGTAATTATTGTAGCAGTGTTTCTAATAGTTTCTTTGATCTTGTTTTTGTGTTACTTTATCCCACATCAGCTTATGAAAAAAGATTTCGATGAAAAGTTTAATAAAGCATTTGAACATTGAAATACTGCCAGTGAATTTCATTATTTATATCTACAGCTTTGTCTTATTATGTAAGAAAAGATTGTTTTTTCTTAAGCGAAAGTGAGTAAGCCATTTATCCTTCGTTTTTTCTTAAGCGAAAGTGAGTAAGCCATTTATCCATTAAGTTCGTTATGGTGAAAAAGGGGCAACTTAGATTTTATTTTAACTAGTAAAAAATGCGTAATGTTGCTTTAATACTCAAAATCTAAAGTTCAGTAGTGAAATAGTATTTTAAATGTTCTTTAAAAAGTACAATGCACAAAAAACGGACCATCCTGAATACCTTTTTTACTAATGATGGGATCTTCACGTTCTAAGACTCAATCTCAATGGTTCGAGGAGGTGACCTCAAATATGTTAATTAATAAGTGCAGACGATATTTTAAGTTACGAAATCAGAGAGGAAAACGTTCTTTTTATGAATAAACATGTTTTTTTCAACGAATTTAGATTTTTCACCCCCAAAATAAAGGGGTTGGCCGCAATCTGGGAAATATGGTCTCCTTAGTTTGGTCAGGAGACTTATCCAAAGTTTGGGCCCCTTAATGTTAATTTTACTTTTTGCGTATTTCGCAATATCTCGAGAACTTTTTAAACGAGTTGAAATTTTTTTCATAGAATTATAAAATTCGTTTAATTAAAGTTAATTCCATGTAAAAAATAACTTTCAGTAAATATTTATTATTCTATTTAATAATAGTAGAAAACATTTTGAATTGTAAGGTACACGTTTTCTTACATCTTTTTCAAGAATCTTTCATTTTCTTACATCTTTTTCAAGAATCTTTCATTTTCTTACATCTTTTGCCTGACAATATACGAAATTTGAGTGAAATCGGTCGAATAGCTTTTATTCATCGGATTTAGTGCCGTTGGAATTGCTATTAAACTAATATCAGTTCAGACGTTTATTATAAACAGCTGAGAGATTGGTATTTGGATTATAGTAGACTCAAATTTCTTTTTAGCAGATATACTACAAATTAATCTTCAATTTCAAAGTATTCATGAAGTAGTACATATAATGGAGCAGTGTTTAAAATGAGTCATTTGTATGGAATACGGGTGGTTCCAAAAAGTAAGAGTATAGCAGAGCGAACTTGTTGCACAGAAATTCCAACTTTTAACTGCAATTTTTTTCAATAAAAAAAAACTACGAAAATTGAAAAGTTAAACACCTAAAATGTCATAGGAAGACGATCATTTCTTTATGAGAAGAGTATTTTGAATGTGTTTTGACGCTTCGATAAAAAAAAATTCCGTTTTTGGTTAAAATTCGTCGTGTTGTAAATAAACTTTATGTCTTAAGTTAATGAACAATTTATAAAAGAAACTATGTACAGCTGATATCTCTATTTTCGCAATGCTAAAAATGTATTTTTACAGTTTCCCAATAGATTTTAAAAATTTCCCGGCTGAAAGATCTGCAGTTTTTTTTTCTTGTCAGATTTTTGGAGTTTGCCGGAAATTTAAAGGAATCTGAGGTAAATGGCAGTTGATATAAATAATAATATTGTTGTATTAGTTTATTATATTTACTTTGAAAATTGTATCATTTGACTTATTTCGCTATAACTTGAGAATAAATTGCTGTAATCTATTAACATTTCCCATGTATGTATAAATATTGAATAAAGTTGTTATTTCGTGTATTTTTTTAAGTAATCTATTTCTAACATTTTGGTGATAATAACTGACAAAATTTAAGAGAATTTTTCCCTTTTTTGGCACGTTTTTCTCAAAGATTTTTTCCACGGGTAGGCCGTTAAACAAAATAAGGCGTGTTGTTCATAATTCCATTTGTGTTTTCTTAAAAAATATATGAGAAAATTATTTTTCGTGAATAGTCAAGCAAAATTTGCCGAATGAGGTAAATGTTTGGGTGTGTCATAGCGACCTGCCATCCTGGCGACCTTGTTTTCGTTGCTGCAAATCGATTAAGACATCAAACTCAACGGTAGCTTTTCCGTTTTTGATGAAGTATATCTCCTAGAAGATGAAGGAAATTCATATTTCATTGGAGATATGAACTAAATACAGTTTCTAACATCTTAATATTTGAAGTACAGGACATTCCGTATGGATCGTTTTTAATATACATTTATAGAATTCTTCTCAAAAATGAAGTCCAAAAAATATACACTTAGGATATTGAAAAAATTAAGAGTGAAAAAAGGGATCGATTTTTGGCGAATCACTATTTTAAAAAAAGCCAGAATTAAAAGACATCAAAACTAACTTGATGGCTAGATGAAACTTGGTGTTTTTGACACAGATGGGAACACCGTTGCCCCTTTTATATACGTATATGTTTTTTTCTGATGTTCCAATTTCAAGCAAAAATATATTTTGGTCTTTTTTTAATTATGAAAAACAGTCTAATGGTTACTAAATTTGTTAGATTATCGGAATTTCTATTTGTACTAAAATATAAAAGTTTAAAAAAAAAACATTTGAAATTTTTTTTCCACTTATCTTCAAAAATTTATCAATAATTGATTTTATAAAATAAAGAAATTTCAATGAGGAATAACTGTTTCTTTTAGATCTAAATAACTGTCAATGAGTACAATTTTGAAAAATTATTGTTCGGAAGTGAATCGTTATTTAGAAGATTTTAACTTTAACACAAAAAAAGGCAACGATTTTCATGCTGTATTTCATAACCATAAATTACTAAAATGCAAAATATATTATTCTTCGCCTTTTTTTTACCTAAATTAATATAAAAAAAAGTATTTAAAATATGTTTAATAAAAATTCTAGTTAAGAAACTCCAATCAGATCCTTTTCGTTTCCTCTGGCATTCAAACAGGTTTTGATGTGTTTTACTTAAGCCTTCTACAATAGTGTTTCCTTAAACTTCGATAGAGACTTTCTTTCTTCCACACTTCAGTAAAAATTTGCAGCTCCAAATATATAAATTCATTTTTAAAAATATGTACTAGCGGGGTGATTATAAAACTTGCCTTGAATTTGAAAGTGGATACTGGTAAATTGGAGCTGCCTAAGTTAACATCAATTTTTAAGAGTGAGAAATGTTTAACATGTTGTGGGCTTAGTCATATGGTTTAGCTGAAAATAGGCTAACCAAACCCAGATAAAACATAGTTTTTAATTTTCACAAGAATGTTATTTAAGTAACATTTTAAGCACGATTGAAGCAAGACTAAAGTATGGATTATACAAAAGCATGTCTATACATGCTAGAAAAAATAGAAAGACAGAAAAAATAAGTTTTCCCACAACATAGTGATAACGTATTTAAATATGATTCTGAGAATATTGATCGCAATTTTAAAATGTCCAATTATATAGACCGGATGTAAGCTTGATTCAAGGGTTGGAGCGACTCTAGACTTTTTTTATTTTATTTTCTCTTCAACTAATTAAGCTAGTAAAAAAATTGCATCGAATCATTCATAAAAAAAAAAAACATTTTATATATATATGCATGCTCGAACTCATTTAAAATAATTATTTATTACTAGGAGGCTTCGCCCCCTGCTCGCTGGCGCTCGCCAACCCCCGGAACTGCTTTCGCAGTTCATTTCGGATTGCTTCGCAGTCCAAGGCTCGCTTTGCTCGCTCATTGGATACGTTCTTAACGTCTAGTTTTTGTATACTTTTTTTAATACTCAAGTTCCAAAAACTTTTTACTGTAGAAAATTCTAAACCTGTANACTTTTTAGCGAAATGTTTTTTAACCTAACAGAATTCTTTGCCGACTGTTTTCTCTATAAATGAAGAAAATAAAGTAAATATTTAAGTGGTGTGAAAAGAATCTTATTTAGTTGTACAAAGTACTTCAGCCAAAATTTGGGAGCCACGTAAGAGAATTATATATATTAGATCAGAAACACATCAAATGCTTTGGTGTTTTCAAAACGTAAACAAAACAAAGCAAACGTTGCCACCGGCGGAAAAGAAATACAGCCAAAATTTGGGAGCCACGTAAGAGAATTATATATAATAGATTTTTTTATTTCATTTATTTAAATAATGATTAAAAAAATTTTTCAACGCTAGCGAAAAGTTTTATATTATTCAACTCAGGGATCTCCAATATTTTTGAGCTAAGACAATATTTCAGTGTACTGGTCGAACTGCAGGCACCTTTTTTTATAACTAAAATAACATTTCAGTGTAATGGGCTGCCTGCAGGCACCTTTTTTGTACCTACGATAAAAGTTCAATGTACCTGTCGGGCTGCTCGAACTTTTTTTTCTTAAAAAGGAAATTTGCTATTAGAATTTATACTTATATATAGAACTTCATTCAAAACTTAAATATTTTTTATCGTCATCTCTCAAAGGCTCTCACTCATCAGAGAATGGGAGACCTTTGTTTTCTCAAACTTTTACATCTCAAACTAAGTCTGGTTAGCTACCGTGAAGTATAAGATACTATAGTAACACACTATTGTATTATTACAATACAACGGGATAAGCTTTTAGTTTAATGAAAAATAAGTTGGACTTATATTTTTAATTAATTTTTTATTATTTAAGAGAGAAAAATATTTTTATTCATTTTTTGTAGTTTTATAAATTACAACCATACAGTAAACATTATTCAAATTACTTAAGAAAGACCCTTAAATAATAAAAGATAAATGAAAATTTTACTTGGTTTTCGTTTTGCTGACAATGGCGATGGTTTTAAAACAGAACGCAGGAAAGAGACGAAAGTTTTAAAGCCATCCTATAAATATTTATCAACTTCAGAAAGTAAAGAGTGCAAAATTAATGCACTCATTTCGGAGTTATTAGACTGATATTTAATCTTATAAAGAGATTAAAGTATCTGGTTTAAGGTGACCTTTTGGGTTAATTATAACTAAAAAAACAAATTCTTTTTTTTTAATGTAAAATAAAAGAATTTATTACCCATTGGCAAAATGCGTCTTGTTTTGGGTTTTATGGCGTGCGCACTTTATTTGGACGTCGTTACACTTTTCAAATGTGTTCAAGAATAATAGTAAACAGTGCGCATGTGTCGTCATTGCATGCCCTGCTATGACGACCACTGCTGTTTGATAATATTTTCAGAATTCTTTTTTTCTTTTTATTTTCACCAGCAGTTATTCTTATTGTATTTACATGAAGTATTTCTATATTCTCTTTATTATTAACTTATAATAACTGTCTTGATGGTGATTTTAATATAAATATGAATATTGAAGAAGGAAAAGTATTTTGTGACGTCTTGGAACACTCATTTTGCCAGGATTTGAAAACCAATCCGACGACAAACATCAATTGAAACAATTTTTGCAACCCATAATTTAAAATGTTGTGGCGTTTACCGGAGTCAAACCAGAAAAAAAAGGCATTTGACCAATTCGTAACCAGTGATCGTAATAGAACTATCACGATTTTTTTTTTAAATTTTCTTATTTAATATTGTGTTATTTTAAACAACAGTTTAAAAGGCAAAAAAAAATTTCCTGGAATATTAGTCTCCTTTTTGTTTAAATTCTAATAAAAAAATATCAACTAATCTGTACGATTTCTGTTTAAAATTTACGTTTGAACAAATGAAATAATGATATTCGTCATTTGAATGGTAATGTATTACAGTCGAACCTTGTGAACTAATGAACGATTAACGTGAACTAATTTTTCGATTTCCCGTCAAACTGTTTACGGATATAATACCTTAAAGCATTTTTTTTTTTTTTTATTTNTTTAGTTTAATAATAAATAAGTTGGACTTATATTTTTAATTAATCTTTTATTATTTAAGAGAAAAAAATATTTTTATTCATTTTTTTGTAGTTTTATAAATTACAACCATACAGTAAACATTACTCAAATTACTTAAGAAAGACCCTTAAATAATAAAAGATAAATTAAAAATTAAAATTTTACTTGGTTTTCGTTTTGCTGACAATGGCGATTGTTTTAAAACAGAACGCAGGAAAGAGACGAAAGTTTTAAAACCATCCTATAAATATTTATCAACTTCAGAAAGTAAAGTGTGCAAAATTAATGCACTCATTTCGGAGTTATTAGACTGACATTTAATTTTATAAAGAGATTTAAAGTACCTGGTTTAAGGTGACCTTTTGGGTTAATTATAACTAAAAAAACAAATTCGTTTTTTTTTAATGTAAAATAAAAGAATTTATTACCCATTGGCAAAATCCGTCTTGTTTTGGGTTTTATGGCGTGCGCACTTTGTTTGGACGTCGTTACACTTTTCAACTGTGTTCAAGAATAATAGTAAACAGTGCGCATGTGTCGCCGTTGCATGCCCTGCTATGGCGACCACTGCTGTTTGATAATATTTTCAGAATTCTTTTTTTCTTTTTATTTTCACCAGCAGTTATTCTTAATGTATTTACATGAAGTATTTCTATATTCTCTTTATTATTAACTTATAATTACTGTCTTGATGGTGATTTTAATATAAATATGAATACTGTTGAAGGAAAAGTATTTTGTAACATCTTGACGCACTCATATAGCCAGGAAACTAATCCGACGGCAAGCATCAATTGAGACAGTTTTTGCAACCCATAATTTGAAATGTTTTGTTGCGTTTATCGAAGTCAAACCAGAAAAAAAAGCATTTGATCAATGAGTAACCAGTGATCGTAATAGAGCTATCACGATTTTTTTTTTTTTAAATTTTCTTATTTAATATTGTGTTATTTTAAACAAAAGTTTAGAAGGCAAAAAAATTATCCTGGAATATTAGTCTCCTTTTTGTTTAAATTCTAATAAAAAATATCAACTAATCTGTACGATTTATGTTTAAAATTTATGTTTGAACAAATGAAATAATGATATTCGTCATTTGAATGGTAATGTATTACAGTCGAACCTTGTGAACTAATGAACGATTAACGTGAACTAATTTTTCGATTTCCCGTCAAACTGTTTACGGATATAATACCTTAAAGCATTTTTTTTTTTTTTTTATCTTTTCAAGACAATTTAAATTTTGTTTCGACCTCAATTAAATCATAAGTTAAGACATTAATGTAGACAAGCTTCAGTGTAGTAGTAATATTATCGTTTAGTACATAAGACATACGTAAATCAAAATTAAAAAAATTCTCATAGAAAAATTTCAAAATATCTAACCAAGGATCTTAGCTTTAGAGGGTATCTTAATATTTATATCTTAAGCACACTTATCGAAGACAGCAGAATTTTTTATCGGAAATTGTCTGCATTTTTATTGAACAAATTGATTATAATCTCAAATATAAATGAAATAAAATAACTTAACAAATCGATTAATCATTATTGAAAAAAAATATATGACTAAAAAATGCACCCATGTTTTTACTAAAATTATTATTAAACATTTTAAATATAAGCAAAACAACCTGTGGACGCAAATCATACGTATTTTGTTTCTAAAGCTACTTGATCTTTACGTCACGAATAAGACAGACATTTACGTCACGAATAAGACAGACATTACGTCATACAGGTGGCGCTGTATTCAAGGCCGATGTCGCTTTTACGTACGAAAATAATCCATTTTCTAATGTTTGTAAATAACCGATCACATGGATAGGTAAGTAGTTCCTTCTTTGCTCCTCATGTCTAGAGGATTATTTGTATTTATGCTTACAGTTTATGACATAGTTTTCAAAATATTATAAAACGAATACATGTGACATGAAATTCCTCAATAACTATTTTTTTATTTATTTTTATTATCGTTTATTGTAGTGATGGGCAATAACAGGTATTTTCAAATAACACGTTCCAGCTGTTACGATACAAAATAATACCTGCTCCAAACACTTGCTCCAAAATAACAGGTCTAATGAAAAAAGTTTCCATTTTTTATATTCCATATTTTATCCAAGATAGTTTAGAATGGCAAGCATTTTTGTAGCAGATACATATTTTTCTANGCCTTTAGAATGGCAAGTATTTTTATAGCAGGTACATATTTTTCTATTAATTTGACAAAGTTGTTAGGAAAAGTATTTTTTCTTAAAATATCGCGACGAAAATACGAAATTAAGTACTATTATTAATGAACGAATTTTAACGAAATTAATAATAGACATCAAGAGGAACAGTTCCCAATTTTATTAGGTTTAGGAATCCTGATTGATCGATTTTCTTTTGGCGGAGCCCGGAGACTTAATCAATATATTTCATTAACAATTGTGAGCATATTAATTAACGAATTATAAATTACATTTTTTTAAATATGTAATGAACTAAATTTATTATCTAGTAAATGAATAAATAATATCAGAAGTTATTATTCATAGTAAGCGAGTAAGTCGGTTAAATTGAATAATTTATCTGAATTTATCACATTTACCGATTATTATTAATTATTAATGAAGTTTTGTCAATGTAATAATTTTCAACTTATTTGGCTTTAAAATTTCCAATACGCATTTGAATGGTAATTTACCGCTGAAACAACTAGTTGTTTATTACTCTGCATGCAGACGCCTACAATTTGCTTACATTTTTTATTTGTAGTGTGAATACTTGAAAATTTCGAATCTTCTTTTGTCTTTTAACATTTTTTTTTTAAAGTATTCAACCTTAAAAGAAACAGTGTTGGTTTTTCCGGACAAATATATAAATCTTAAATCTTAAAAACATCTAAAAAAAATGCTAAATCTTAAAAACATCATTGTAGGGCATACCGGGCAATAGCATTTAATATCAGTGATGGGTAAACCTAACAGAAGACACTGACTTTCCTTGATAACTCTGATTATGAAAAATAATAAATAGCAATTATTATCAATAATCCAATATTTTCATTAATTTTTTGTAACTATATTCAAATTTATCTACTCAAAATTTCAAAAATTATCGTTTATCAATAGATATGATGGTATAAAAGAAGCAAATTGAACTTTTAAAACTATTTTTTTAAATTAGAACCTAAGTAAAAATTCGTATGTTTTTTCCATCTTTTGTTTATTTCATCTTTTCTTTGTTTAATCTTAGTTGCTTTCGCCCGATTTATGTTAATTTAACTAAAACATTTTCACTAAAACAGTTTTAGGATTTGATGAAATTTTTTACTTTCTACAAAATGACCCTGAATTGTAATTTTAACATTTTCCCTGAAATGATCATTTCTCTAGAGCAGTGTTTCCCAAAGTGTGGTACGCGTACCCCCAGGGGTACGGGAACAGTTTAGCGGGGGTACGCANTTCGTATGTTTTTTCCATCTTTTGTTTATTTCATCTTTGCTTTGTTTAATCTTAGTTGCTTTCACCCAATTTATGTTTATTTAACTAAAACATTTTCATTAGAACAGTTTTAGGAGACTCTGAATTGTAATTTTAACATTTTCCTTGAAATGATCATTTCTCTAGAGCAGTGTTTCCCAAAGTGTGGTACGCGTACCCCCAGGGGTACGGGAACAGTTTAGCTGGGGTACGCTTTCTTATGCAAATATCTTACAATAATAGAACATTTCAAAAAAATTTTATTTAGAAACAAAGCTTTCCATGAAAATTTACAATTAAATATTTTTCTATTGGCTATTTTTTGCTGAGTTAACAGTTAATAATTAGTATTGCCTAAAACCAGTTGTAATTTTTAACTTTTGTGCAATTTTTTTCATAGTAAAAAGTACATTAATTTTTTTACTAGGGTACACAGCGTTACGAAAAATTTAGAAAGGGTACACAAAAGTCATAAGTTAGGGAAACACTGCTCTAGAGCATTTGATCGTATTTCCGCTTTCATAATTTCCGTGCAACAGATAAGGCTTTATGAATAGATTACGTTAAATATATAATTGTTTTAACATTAATTTTGTTGAAATCATAACTTATGTATAGTAAAAAGCATTTTGTTGCCTTAATTATATCAGGCTGTAAATTACAACGACGCATTAATATCTGTAAAAAATAATGAACATAAATACATTTAGAACTCAAAATGAAATATGTATGTTGGTCAATTTTATACCACTTCCTCAGTTTATAGAATTTCTTCAACCGAAATGACAGTTTGAAGTCGTTGGGGAAAAAATCTATTTCTAAAAAAAAAAAAAAAAAAAAAAAAAAATTTAAAAATTTAAGAAAAAAATATTTTACTCTTTTTAAAGGCGGTATATGCAATTCTTACTAAATGCATTCATTTCTTACATAAAAAGCATTTAATTTAATTAACCATTAGTTGCAATAAATTTTGTTTCATGTTTAATTTTTTTTAATATTATTCAGTTAGTTCCAAAATATAATAAAAAATATGTTAGAATCCTTGTGAAAAATAAAGTAAAAAAGTAACCACTATACGGACCCCAAATTAATTGTTAAACGATGAAAAAAAAAATTAAAAAAAACATCTTCAAATTAAACGGATAACCATTAAAAAACAAGAAAGAAAATCTTTGTTGGAAGGTAGTAATTAAGTTTCAATGTGCTAGTCCTCCCTGACCTTTCTATCACCTCGGTCCGGTCAACATTTGGAAATTTTACCGGGGACCACTGAGGGGGGTGGTGCTAATTATTTGAATTTCAGATTATTTTGATTTGAAAATTTTAATTTAGTTTAACATCCTTCAACATAAAGTAAAATTATATTTGTGATATTAGCGAGACTTAAAGCGATGACACTCAAATCCCGTCCGTGGAAAGTGATACGAACCAGTGCTTTTAACCTTTTGACGCAGAATGTTTACTAAACATATTTTTTATATTTTGTTCTATTTTGTAGTAATTTAGGTTAAAATGAAAAAGATTATATTTAGTATTTTAATAATTTATGATCATTGAAATACAGCATGAAACGCCAGTGTCTTTTTCTGCGCTTAAGATAAAAATGGCTCACTTTCAAACAATTATTTTTCAAATTTGCAGTTATTTAGATCTAAGATAAGCAGTTATTCATCATTATAATTTCTTTCATTTATAAAATCAATAACTGTATAAGTTTTTGAATATGAATTAAAAAAAGAATATGAATAAAAGAAGATGAATTTTTCTTCTTCTTTTTTAAGATTTTTTATTTTAGTACAAATATAATTCCGATAATTTAACAGATTTTAATAACTAGTAAACTGTTTTTTATGTTTAAAAATACCAAAATATATTTTTATTTGCAGTTAGAGTGTCAGAAAATATATATATAAAAAAGGGACACCGGCGTCCCATTTGTGTCAAAGGGTTAAGGAAAGTACATTTCTGATAAAAACTATCTGACAAATATGATCTACACTTCAGCTTCTACAAGGACTAATGTATATGTATATATCTATATATATTTGTAGCTTATGCGCAGTTAATAAAACTTATTAATTTTCTTCGTTTTTCTCTTTGTTTTTATTGTGCTACGTTATAGTGATCATATTTAAAGTAGCTTTANTAACAGATTTTGATAATTAGTAGACTGTTTTTTATATTAAAAAATACCTAAATATATTTTTATTTGTAGTTAGAGTGTCAGAAAATATATATATAAAAAAGGGACACCGGTGTCCCATTTGTGTCAAAGGGTTAAGGAAAGTACATTTCTGATAAAAACTATCTGACAAATATGATCTACACTTCAGCTTCTACAAGGACTAATGTATATGTATATATCTATATATATTTGTAGCTTATGCGCAGTTAATAAAACTTATTAATTTTCTTCGTTTTTCTCTTTGTTTTTATTGTGCTACGTTATAGTGATCATATTTAAAGTAGCTTTAGCGCTTGATATTATCTACTATTAACTTACTTTCGTTTCCTTTTTGTTTCCGTTTTTAGTTCGGTTTTCTAATTTCGTGTGTTTAGGGCATTGCTTTTTGAGCCTAATATTTGGATTTCAGCAGTAATAATAATTTGGCTCATGCTAAAAATCAATTCAAAACGAGCAAATCCTGCTTCTTTTTTCTTTTTCTTTTTTTCTGTTTTTTTAAATAATTATTAATTTTCTAAAATTATTTTAATTATCAAACTTATTAATTACAAACTTTAAATTATCCTGTATAATATTATTACCTTGCGCCCATCCATTTTCGGGCCCATCCAAGGTAACTAACAAATTAGACGCGCTTCAGTATTGCAGTAAGAACGGGCCATAAGATATCACTTTATTTATGCTTCTGTTTTCATATTTTGTAATCTGGCAATCTTATGACGAAAATATTTTAAATCATTCTTGGAAATTTTCGGTACGCATAAATTCATTTTAATTCGCTCCTCACTATGTAGATTTCCTTTCGTGTACTGTTTAATCTCTTTACTACTTGGATACTAATCTCTTTACATTTTATTTTACTTAAATGTGTTACTTAATGTGTATTACTTAAAGTGTTCTAATTTCGTTTCAATTTTTTTGAGTGCTCCTCACACTATTGTACTGATATATTTTGCTGTGGCTATATAAGTACAATATTAGAAAGCACTCCTTTTTGCGGATATAATCATGTGGACTGATGAAAAGATTATATCTTTTCTTTGTTTTGTTTTTTTTTTTAATTTTTTTTTTAGATCTCAAAAATTATATTTTTTAAATACTTTTGAAAAATATTTTTAATAATTTTCTTCTCTTGTCATTATTTTTTATTTTTTCCATATTTTCTCAATATTTTAGCTTATTTTATGANATATATATATACATAAAAAAACACGAAGAAAATTAAGAAAAACAAAAAAAATTTTAGTGCTCCTCACACTATTGTATTGATATATTTTGCTTTGGCCATAGTGATACAATATTAGAAAGCACTCATTTTTGCGGATATAATCGTGTGAGATGAAGATGAGATTATATCTTTTAATTTCCGGATTCTTATAAAAAAATTTTAAAATTTTTTGTCCTTTTTTTTCGGAAATTTTTTTTCTCCGGGTTTGTTATTTTTATTATTGTTTTTCTTTTTTTCCCCTTTTCTCATTGTTCTGCAATTTTTCCCTTGTTTTCTCTACATTTTGAACTTATTAATTAATTTTTAGTTAGATTAATTCATAGCAAGATATACTAAGAAAGAGAAGTTTGCTTTATTCGAAAACTAAGATGGACGACCCTCCACCAAGCTACAGTAGTTTATTCAATGATCATGCCAGTGGAATAAGTTACATAGATTTCCTGCCTTTTGGTGTAAAAGAGAGTTTTTTAAGCAAACCTATATGTGACAGATTCGGGTAAGTTGTCAATCTTAGAATGATTTTTATAGACTTGTTATATTCCGTTGTTGATATCAATACGTTCTATTTAAGTTCAATGCACTCTTACAATTCAAAATATGAAAGAAACTAAAGATTAGAAAATAATACGGCGAGTTTCATTGTGCCTAATTATATATTACTTTTATAATTTTAAACTAAGATACATGTCTAAGATAAGATACATGTCTGTATGAAATAAGTTTAGGGTTAGTACAGAATAAACATTAGCCGATATCGGTTATTTTAATATTTAATTATTTAAAATATTACCATAACGTGGAGTGAATGGAAATAAAACGGTATAAATATACAAAAACGTATGTAAGAAATAACCGTTCTTAATTTTTTATTTTCTTCATATACCTAAAGGAAAAATTAGGTACTTGCAACAGAAGAAATGTAGCGATTACACTTGACCATAAATCGGATTTAATTGGATGACTGTAAGCGACTTCAAGCGCGTGTCGAAACTGATTGGCTTTTGAATTGACAAATGACAAGATTTACCCACGATGACGTAACTTGCAGCTATCCAATTATTCAAGAAATTAAGTTTCGCGCATTTGGCAACACCGCATATTTCTTTGCAGGCAGCCAATCATATCACTATAATCTTACCACTCATATCATCCTATCAAAGCACTATAAGCAATTAAAAAACATTATGATTCTTTCATATCATGTCAGCTTTTGAGATTTTTTTTTAAATAAAAGACTTTTTTTAGCCGGGATTTTTTTAAATTATTAGTTTCACTAATGAAATTTAATTTTTTACATTTTTATTAATATTTGTAATAAATAAATATTTTTTTCCTGGCTTAAGTTTGACAATCCTATTTTTAGTACTTGAAGAAGTGTACTTGAAAATGAATTTACTGAATCTGTACTCCCGACTTTCATATTTCCAGGAAATTGATAGAAAATGCTAACCGGTGGCTGAGACTCAACCCCCAATGGGAAATAGTAACTTGCGAGAGTGTGGAATTCAAAGATAAGGGCGGCCAAATTTTACCAACAAAAATGTCTTACTACGAAAATACAAAAACTCAAATGAGCTTCATCAGAGGACTTAGGTAACTATATCCTACATTTTAGTAATTTCTTCCTTTTTACAAATATTTGAAGCGTAGAACACATCCAAAATTTTCTAAAAAGGGACTGAAATAAATCTCGAAAGATGAAATTGCTTTTCAAAGAAGAATTTACATAATTCCTTTAACTGCATGCCAAATGTCTGGTTGTTTAAGATAATCTTGTTGAAAAATCGTCAAACTTATGTTCATAATAAAAAAAAATATCTTCCCCTCTTGATTTTATCCTAAGATCTAATGGAAGTTGGAGAAAAATTACTCCAAAACCAGCAATAAAATACAGGGTATTTATAAAGTCCCGGACCCATTTTGATGTTTAATAACTCATAAAACAATAAAGATAGATTAAAATTAATAACATAAATGGTTAGACCGTCTCAAAAAGTTTCATGACCCTTGTCAATAAACTTCCACGTGTGCAGCCGTCGTCACACGGAGAACATCAAGTCGATAATCAATTTCACGCCAGGTAGCGGCAAGCATATCGGCATCCACAGAGGCTATTGCGGTTGTAATTCTGGCTTTTAGGTCATCAATGTTCGACACATTATGGCGATTAACAATGCAAGAAACATGAACGGATGCTTCGTCGGAGAACATAATGCGCTTTAGAAAATCATCAGCATCTTCTATCCTTCCTACTATATCTGTTGCAAACGCCATCCTCCTAGACCTATCGTCAGGTTCCAAACCTTGAACAATTTGAACTTTGTATGCATGTAGTCTCAATTGTTTCTTAATAACCTTGTACACCGCATATTCAATTCTCTTGCCGCTGATCTCACAGATCTTCTAGGATTGTCTAAAAATGTCTGTCTGACACGCTCAACGAATAGGGGCACACGTAGAAGTTCATTCACAAGGGTCATGAAACTTTTTGAGTCTGTCGAACCATTTATGTTATTAATTTTAATCTATCTTTATTATTTTATGAGTTATTAAACATCAAAATGGGTCCGGGACTTTATAAACATCCTGCATTATCATGATCTGTTAGTCTCGTCATTTATAAAAAAAAAATATTCTTAAATTTTTTTAACATTATTAGGCTGTGGTTGAAAACAGTTCCTGCTGGTCAAGAGAGGATAAAAAAAATTGGATACAGGAACTTGGTGCCTCAAACAGTATCTTCCGCAGGAATGTTTACCCACGCAAAGTATGAAACTTTAGATGATATCCTGCGACGCTTTAATACTGGTTCTCGTACATCGCATCTACCAGGTATTTTCATATTAAATTACGTTATAACCGTCCTTATTAGATAATTTTAGAATATTTGTTTTTAAAAAAAAATAGTCTTCTTTTGGGTCAAAAATCAATGGACATGAATGACCTAATTGACACAAAATTATTTCGAACTCGCTCCTAATTGTGAAGGAGCTCATAATAGTTGTCCTTTTTAAAGAGTTAAAAAAAAGTTCAATCTGTTTTTTTTCCCCAGAAGAGTAACGGCATTCTGATCTTATAACCGTTATTGAACAGCCGATCCAATTTCGGGTTTACGACTACTAATGTTCAACTTCGTACATTTGTAATTTCGAATCCAATCCAGAAGACGAGGGAACTCCTGAATCAAGTATTGAGGAAGTTGTTGCCTTTGTGGAGAACTTTTTGATGGAACTAACCCGCATTTGCGCTACGTAGAGAAGAAAACCTCCTACAGTTAGCCTGACGGCAAGGGGACTGTATTCCATGATCCGTCTACCACTGAGGATATTAAGTCAGCACTGTGGTTAGTGCGAGCCGGGTGCGAGATCCATATCGACCAGCCATCGTAAAATATCCTCAGTGGTAGACAGATCATGGGTTAGAATCTCTTAGCCGAATGATGTGAGATTTTCGCGATTTTCCTTCCCATGTAACGCAAATACGGGTTAATTCCATCAAAAAGTCCTCCACGAAGGAGAATTTCTCCCAATAATTGATACAGGATCTGAATTCTGGGTTAGGTTTAAAATTACAAGCCTCACGAAGTAGAACATTGATAGTCGTAAGCTCAAAATTGGGTCGGTTTGTCAATGCCTGTTATAAAATATTATAGAATGTTAACTGATGTTCTCTGTCTGTAAAAATAAAAGTTTAACCACCATAAAAGTATAAGTTTCAATAGTTTTTCAAATGCTATAGACGGATATTATCGCCAATTAGAAAACGTATGTCGAAATTCTGACCCCTTTTGAATTAGCTATGCTAGAAGCATTCAAATCGTAAAGGTATCCATGTGCCTAAAGACAATGCTCGTTTCAATTGATTCTTTACCGCTACGAGCGAATACTATCTTCTTGTCACCAACATAAAAAATTTGTCGTCAGTTAAAATTGTGACTACTTTCCAACTAACTTTCAAATTCTAACTTGAGTTTTAGGCTGGGTAACGATACAAATTTGTATTTTTTCCTGATTATTAAACGTTATCGTCAAAAGGAGATAAAGTTAGTTTGTCATTTTAAATTTTCTCCATTTTCTGCTTAACTAGAGTAGTTAAATTCTAACAATGTTTGATGCAAATACAAGATTCTATGGTTTACAAACTGTATAAGCAGAATTTATGCCACCGCATAAAAATTATCGTCAACCGAAATTTTGACAATTTTTAGACTAGCCAGAATGCTAAAAATTTGAAAATCGAACCAAAATAAACCGAAAAATTGAATTGGTGTCTCGCTCGTAAGAAACTTTTATCACCATCGAAAATTTTATACACGTTTTTCGATTATGCTTTCTAAGTGCATATATATTTTTTTGTGTGCACGTGAAAAACATTGTTCTTCGAGTTTTTTTTTTTATTAACTAACTTTTGCGTCTTTGACAATGTAATTTTGAATCTAGATGGAACCGAAGTTTCATTCAGTTTTCGTCTAGCTAGAGCATTCAAATCTCTATGGAAGCTCTGAGTCTTTTGACAATCGTTTCCTGACCTCTAATAGAATAATTAATAGCTATATTATTCAATACAATTTTGTGTGTCTTTTTACTATTATAAAATTTTATTTTCCAGGTCGTATTATTACAATAGAAACCCAAGGCATGAAGATAAAAAGTGGTGGTGCTATCGATCCGGACCGATCAAGGTGGACGGAATTCGATGGTCGGGACAACAGATTCATCTATATAATCAGAATATTTTATGAAATCTGTGACCCTTTGCACGAAACAATAGGTGATACTTTTCAAAATAATATAGTTTTTAAGCAATTTTAACCCTTTGCGGTCGATTAAATTTATACATGGGTGTCATGCTGGTCTGAATTAATTTTAGTTGAACGAACAGTAATACATAATATGCAAGAGTTTGAAGAGAAAAAAAAATATTAATTCTTTTTTAAATTTATTGGGGCGAGTTTCTATGAGTGAATCTATGGGGCGAATCTATGAAAAGATAATCAAACTTTAAGATGTCTTATATACTAGTGAATTGGAAATGATTAATTGTAAGTAGACACACGCTACACTTTTGATATAGATAACACAATGATATATTTTAACTTCATGTAAAAATTATACTTTATAGTTTTCCATTGTGTGGCATCTTTCAATGCAGTCTCCAAAATGAAGCCCTGGTTTTCGAGAACACGCGTCGCAAAAATAAGTAGTTTGGCGTCTTCCGCCTCTAATTTTTCTGTTCTAACATACAGAACAACAGGTGGCTGGGTGGCGCAGTTGGTTTGTCGCCGGCCTTCTGAGCCCAAGTCTGCGGGTTCGATCCCCGGCCCAGACACCGGATTTTCGGGATGCAGAAAATCCTTAGCGGCCATGTCGTATGATTATGCGGCATGTAAAAGATCCCTAGAGTGCCTTATTGGCTCTTGGNATATTAAAAGATACCCAAACATAGAATCGAGTTGACATGTCTATTATACTAGTGAATTAGAAATGATTAATTGTAGTGGTAGACACGCTACACTTTGCTAGGTAACACAATAATATTTTTTAACTTATGTAAAAATTATATTTCATAGTTTTCCATTGTGTGGAATCTTTCAATGCAGTCTTCAATATGAAGCCCTGGTTTTCGAGAACATGCGTCACAAAAATAAGTAGTTTGGCGTCTTTAATTTTTCTGTTCGAACATACAGTACAATCTTTTCATCTTCACAGTGCGGCAATATATGTAGTTTGCCATTAAGCTGTGGTGGCTGAGAGCAGACATACTGATACAACCTATTGATACTACTTTTAGATGTATCATGTTAATTAGAGTTACAATTATATTACACAAATTAAAGTTAATTTAAATTTTGATGATTTAAAATATTCTTGATTACATATTGATACCATAACTTTAAGTAATACAAAAGGGGGGGAAGAAGCTAAGATCACTCACCAGGGCGTCATATCTAAACCTAGTCACCTTCCAACACTCAGGCACAGCTTCAACTGATTCCTGAATGGGTGCAACCCCTACAACAAGAGGGAACTTCGCCAAACTCACCCTTTGGCTCACTTTATCGATGTTTTTGGCGCACTTACTATTTTGGGACTCCTTGCTCTGCATCAATACTACTGGAACGGTAAAAAAGCGTTGGTGGCTGAGAGTAGACATACAACCGCAAAGGGTTGTTTAATTTATAATGAATTGTCGATCGAATCACGGAGCTAACGGTTCGCTCACCGAATTTCTTCAACTTTGTAGATGTAATCGAATTAACTCGAGGCCGAATTTATCGAAGACCATAGTTACCACTTGGCTTTGCAAATAATTTTCTGTTAAAAATGTTACGATTAATGATTAAAAATTTAAACTAACCTGAAACAAAATAACTTACAGTTTATACTAACAAAATTTAACAAACAATAATAATAATAGATTCATAATTTTCAGAAACTTATATTCTTACCTCATCAATTGAACTGGTTTACGTAAATTGCATCTACCAGATTCTCATTTTCGTAATGCATATGTTATATGATTTTTTTTTTTACTATGAAAAAGTCTCACTAATACATACAATGCTATATAATATTTTACATTGCAAGTAAACTTAACATTTTATTTAACATTATATTATTTAAACATTTTACTTAACTTTAGACCATTTTCAATGTTAAAAATAGGGGAGATATGGCCATTCTTCGACGTTTAAATTTTTCCAATTTTTTACATACCGTAACAATTATGACGATTTGGAGTGCTACACTGGTTTCTATTATCTAATTTATAATATAAATAAATTTATAACATAAGTAATAAATTTATAATATCTATTATCTAATTTTTAACTAAAATTCATACTTTTAAACTTGTCTCGCAAATTAAAAATACTATAATATTTCCCTAAACTACTGGAAAAATCTCTGCACCTCCATAAAACGAATTTTTCTCCTTAGCGAACTTAACAGCTGGAACCGTACAATTTCGTAATTGAGACTCCACTATTTTTGACAAGTAATTGATTATTAATCACAATTATAATTAATCATTATTTGTGTTATGCAGGTATAACAGATTTTGTGCCAGAGTGTAGATCAAGTGGTTTATTAAACCAGGAGTATGAACCTTTTTCCGCAATGTTTGATAGAGCGTCATCGTGGTGCTCAAGGCATAGGGATTTACGAATCTCTAATATGCAGACTTTGTCAACAAAAGTTCAAGGCGGTAAGTATTGAGAAAACGAGTTTATTTTGAGCATATATTTGATAAAATTTTTATGTATTTAATTTTTACGTCACAAAGTTTAAATTGAGAACGGATGGCAGTTTTAATGTATGTATGTATGTATGTATGTATGTGTGTGTGTGTGTGTGTGCGTGGGTGCGTGCGTGCATGCATGTCGCTAACGCTCGCCAACCCCCGAAAATTGCTATGCAATCTTATATGGTTTGCTTCGCAAACCAAGCCCGCTTCTCTCGCTACTAACTAAGGTACATTGCAAATGCACAAAATTCTACGAATTCAAAACAATCATTCAAATCCATATAAAAACTTTTTTTTTTGAAAAAAATTACATCTTTTTAGTAAATACTAAGTCATTAAAATAAATTTGAATGCAAATAAATGACATGTAATTCGTTAAACCTATTAGAAATGTGCTTTAGTGTAATTTGTGATATAATTTAAAAATCGTCAAATAAATTCGTAATTTATTCGTGAAAAAAAGCGCTTTCGACAAAATACTAAAATAGAGATCTATCGACAAAGACTACTCACTTCTGCCTAGCTTAATAGTATGAGATTGCCGCAGCTGATGCTCTCTGGTTATTTCAGTTTCCGTTTTTAAAAGC